TTAAAATGGCTGCTATTCGGCTATCGTTAATCGGATCATGAAAAAAATGCATGTGCATATGTCCCATATAATGCGTGATGTATGAGTGAAGTTTGAACTTAATCGGTCCATGCATGTTTGAGATACAGGTGATCACGGACGCACGCACACTCGCACGGACGCACACAGGGCAAAACATAAGTCCCCGTTTTCGGACTTCGTCCGAACGGGGACTAATAAATTGTGACAATATTTTGTATTTTCCTACTAGATATCTTATCAGTGCAACACACAGAAATGGACAGCGCCTCAACAGTACAGTTCATACATGACTTCGTTTGTTTAATAAGTATCAATTAAAAGTTTTCGCATAATCAAGAGATAGATCAACTTCCGTTTGACCACTTTAACACGACGCCGCGACTATACAATATACTGACGGTATTGCATACATGTTCTATCACAAAATCCCTGCGTAACTAAATACTCGTAACCCTGTATCTGTAAGATTTATTAGTTGCATGTTTGGAATTGTAAAAAGCACATATTTTTATAGATATTACAAATATAGTAAATCATTCCATATGGCAGGAAAATAAAAACAAAACAATAAAGTAACAATAACTTTGTAAATTATTGCAATCACCATTCCCATTGGTCAGTAGTATCATTTGTGTGAGCACAATTCCCATTGGTCAGTAGTATCATTTGTGTAACCACCATTCCCATTGGTCAGTATTATCATTTGTGTAACCACCATTCCCATTGGTCAGTAGTATCATTTGTGTAAGCACCATTCCCATTGATCAGTAATGTCATTTGAGAAACCATCTTTTCCACTGGCCAATAGTATAATTTGTGTAACCACCATTCCCATTGGTCAGTAATATTATTGGTGATCCTTTCTTGTTGGTGGAGATTATCATTTGTGTAACCAGCTTTCCCATTGGTCAGTAATATTCTTTGTGTAACCATCTTTTCCATTGGCCAATAATATCTGTGTACCGGTAATCACCTTTCCTATTGGGCAATAATATCATTTGTTTAACCACCCCTTTAATCAATATTATTTGTGTAACGCACACCATTGTTCAATATTTTTTGCACTGTCACCTTTTCCAATAATTTGTGTATGCCATTAATGTTACCACACTCTTTCAATTTCTTTAGGGTGGTTTCTCACTCAAACAGAAAAGGAAAATTACAAGATTGACAAACAATTCCTGTGCATTGAAGAAATTTTATTATTATTCTTAAACAAAGGTAAATATATCTTGAAATAAAATAAAAACATGGGAAGTCAAAATAAGCATGGCAACTACAGTAAATACAGTGATTCACAAATTTAAGGTAAATATGTCTTGAAATAAAATAAAAACATGGGAAGTCAAAATAAGCATGGCAACTACAGTAAATACAATGATTCACAAATTTAAGGTAAATATATCTTGAAATAAAATAAACATGATAAATCAATTTACAATAAGCATGGTGACTACAGAATTGGACTTAAAAGTTACAATTGATACAAGTTTTGATATTTGCAATTGTTTAAATTGTGTTTGGTGTCATCCAATACATGTTAAAATAAACAATGGATTATATTCATTTATGTAGTCATAAAGACTCCATATTGAATGCACACCATGTGATTACCACTTCAGTTTATAGTTAAGGAGTAGAAAATTGAAGTCACATCATTGTAATTTTTTTTTCTAACAGGGTTTACCTTATTTGTTCTATGTGCATGCACTTACATAAATGACAGATGTTTTTGTGGTCAAAATAAGTCATATTTTAATGATCCAGCATTCAATAAATGTTTTGGTCTATAATGGAGATGCACTTCTAATAGAACAAATATGTTAATTGTAATTTATAAGAAGAGATTGAAAATATTTCAGAATAATTCAACAATTTATACTCTCATTGCACAGGAACATTGGACTGGCTGAGCTATGGCAATTTTATTTTGTTATATGATAATTCCTTCTTTTAAAACAATTTTGTAAAAGTAATTTTGCATTAGAATTTACAAATTCATTCCTAAAAGGAAGTATTATATAAAACAATAAAATTGCCACAACTGAGCCAATGCAAGATACATGGGCTTAACGTACAGTGTGATTCAATATTTTGGTCACAGTATGTGATAAGAAAATTTAAAAGTGAGTCCACAAGTTGCTGACACATCTTGAACACATAACAGAGAAACTCACTAAAGTTACTGATAAATTTAGTCATTCACAGCCATTCATTCTACTGTTTGCACTGGACCAATACAATCAGTGTCAATGATTAGAAAACATGTATTTGACTACTGACCGATTAAACCAGGACCTGACACAGTTTCTGTGTCAGCCGTAAAGGGCCCAGTCATATATGAACACAGAATATCATTCTTTTGTATATTTTTTATTAAATGTGAAATATTGTACTATTGGTTGATGCAGGAAAATTATTTTTTATTAATTATGATTGCAAACTACATTGAGGTAAATCATTAAAGTTATATAGCTGTACAATGTAAACTATCGGTATGGGCAAGATCCGTATTTCAAATACCAGTTCATAGGATTACGGCAAAGGCAGTGATAGCAATAAAAGCATATAGTTCATTGCAGTTATTCAGTCTAGCAGTATATGTTACACAAAGGTTTCATGAAATTTGAATATCATGTACGATGATCTACTCAATGAAGATCTCATTTTGTATGAAATGAAAGTATTTCTAGCCAATAGCATCACACAACCCAGTAAATGCTTAGTAAGGTTTGATCCCGTAAACAGGACAGAGCGAGACTATCTGTGTATTTATAAACAAATTTTATATATAAGCAAGGACAATGTCAAGAGCAGCACAAGA